AATTTAATTTTTAAAATTTTAGACTTTTGAGTAAATAATCTAATAAAATATTTTAAATAAATCACATCTGAAAATTGGATATTTCATTAGTTGACATATCGGACGATTTCCATACTCCGAAAAACAGTGAAACAAGGGTGTGTTGTGCTATTGCCACGTGAGGGACCTGGATGTGTTTAAGACCCTAAAGGCTGCGTCATTTGGTTTTAGGTAGAAGAATAGGCGACATCGGCAGTGGTCTGTCACGACTATACTTGAACAGGATCTGTTCTATAGTACGTACATCTTGATCTGTGATCACTCTCACAGACAAGTCCCTTAACCCGGACGATGAGCAGAGGCTTGGGTGCCAGTGCGCGAATACTGCAGGCCGAGCTCGATGCAAATCTGAGATCGGTCAGCTTGATGAACGTCCTGCCGCGCTCATTCCGCCGGCGGTGAGGGCACTCAAGCGTTCTGACGGGTTCATCCTTTTTCTTTTGTTTGGGAAACGAATTGGAACAAATTTATGCATTTGAGGGTGGGAGGGGTGGGGCTCCTCTCAGAACTTCTTTTTAGTGTACAGTACTCCTAACATGAAAAACAAGGTGTAGAAATGAGGACATTTTTGCCTTCAAATGATCAGTTTGGAAACTCAATCTTTCTGGCCTGCACTTTTGTCTCCGTTGGTCTGCGATCATCAAAATCATGCCATTTCTGATGTAATGCAAATATATACCAGATGAATCTCGCACATTAGAGACCTCCGGGCTAAAACCGGATTTGTAGCAAGTGGATAAATCGGATAGGCACTTCGTCATAGCTATGTCCATCATTACATTTTAATGTTCTAGCCCAGAGGCAGACAGGAGAGGTAGGTAGTCATGACAAGTCCCAGTAATGTTTAAAGTCGGATTGCAAGGTCGAATCTTGCCGTTATTTCTAATAAACTATATAACTATGTATTTCGTTATTAAGAAATAGCATAATAATAAATACTATCACAAAAGTTAAATTTTAAGTTTTTTCTTAATTTGATTTGACTCGAAGATTTCACCTCATCTATTTTCAGTTTTTTCAATTTTATTCTTTTATATTCTTTCATATTGTATTGATGCATGATAAACCATCATTCTTCCTGTTCATTTTACTTTTACGCAATTTTTAGTTCTATTATTTAATAACATTAAAAACCCTTTCGAATTGAGCATACAAGGATAAACATAGATTTTGCAAGACTGCAGACTAGCTTGATAGATCATGTTGGATATTTCACACATCCTTTCAAGCTAAAATCTATCATATATTGATAACTATGAATGTATATATGTAAAAAAATTCTTCAATATCTTAGATATTATCTTCCATATATAAATTAAATTTCATGAATTTTTTAATATTACATATAAGTATATGAAACATTCAAGTTCATTTATTGCTTCCAAAAAATGGGCTCATTTTTCCCATATTACAACTATTTCTATCTTATTTCAATTGATTACATTGTGTTCTTTTTAATTCTTGAATATAATCAATGAAATGAGTGTTTTGAATACCTAATATCTAGTTATATTTAATTGGAGTAATGTTTTAGGTACTTTGATTCTACATGTGAAAAGAATGCGGTTACAAAAGGAAAAACAAGAAAAGAATGTTGTTATAATTTTTTCATGAAGTTATATGGAGAGATGTGTCATTGATTTTTAATCTCACACGGATATGCATTACTATTAACCTGATATTCAAAAATCATTAATTAATAACTTGGAATTTGCTTGTTCGATGGATATTCACATTGACATCAGTCATTATAAAGGTCAAACTTTTCACGTTGATAAAAAAGCAATCAGCATGGGTAGTGTGAGTGCAAACTTTACATTGATCAATAAGCTTTGCTCCACTAATGAGAATTATTAAATTCCTAGTTAAAATTTTTAATCTGAGTTCTTTAATTACAATCTCTTACATATGATTGTATAATATTTTAACTTTTTCTCAACATTCAAGATATGACTAAACATGCTTTTTAATTATAACTTCATTGATTGACACCTGATTTGATACTTGAATTCATAAGTCAATTTTTGTGCATTGTGGTATTCCACTAGGAGAAAAATGGTGGATTATTTAAATCTATTATTTTTCAATACAAGTCAAAAACATAATCTGACAATTTTTCAAATCCATGTACCTTAAAAGATCACATAAAAAACGAAGCATGTTTGTCAATGGATACTATATACATATTATTCTAATGCGATTGGCATTGAACTGTCCTCTATTGCCATGAATTTTCATGTAAATCGATAAATCGTTTTAGTTTTTTTGTTATATAATTGGTATAACATTATTTAAAAGATTTTTCGTTTGCCATGTTAATCAAATCATGGCAAATAAAAGATGTGTGCTTTCATAGTGCTTAACTATGTTTGAGTTCTTCTAGTAGATGATAAAAATCACGTGGATCATTTAGTTCCATACTAAGCAATTTTCTAGTTTTTGAACATCAAGTTGCATGTATTCCAACTAAGTTGTAATACATGACTTAAGATTCTTTTAATTTAGCATAATTTTTGTCTTTCATGAAAGACTTATGCAGTCAAAGAATGTGTGGATGATAATGTTATTGGCATTGGAAAAGAATAAGTCCAAGTACTTTAATTAATATTCACTAGACACAATATTTGCAAAGCATATACATCATATAGAAGACCATGCTTTACAACTATACATGTGGCATTAAGAATCCTCAATTGTCAACTCGCCCATGCACTTTGTACAAATCTTATGTCATTTTTTTGGAAATTGAGATTTGGCTTGAAAGACATAAAAGCCACTATTATGGTAAAAGAGAGATATATATTTCATGTGAAAAAGACAAAATTCTAACCTATCTTGAAGTACAGCAAATAGAAATAAGGTCAACCTTCTTTTCTAAAAAAGACTCTACCATTCATCCTACTACTAGGGATCTCCTTCGCTCATACTCGGGCATCATGTAATAAATTTTGTAAACTCACACTATCTACATTTACATATACTGGTTTATATTCATGTACATCCCTAATACTCATATTAAATGTTGCACTACGTTCAATGCATATCAACTTATAAGATCGGTTGATCATAAAAAAGTTACAGTATAACCACCAATGATGCTATGAGAGATGCATTTCAAAAATTTCAAAAAAGTGTAGTAACCTCACACAAAAATGTTGACATGCCTTTCAAAATCTGATTGTTGTAAACCTATATTTGGTTAGTGAATACCGCTGATTAACGTGGTATCAGATAAAGAAGTGACATAGTTATGGAGTGATGATCAGCCATATTCATGGAAAGGCAAATAGGGAAGCAACAGCTAAGGTAGCAAGAGCTAAACACTTTACAATCCTAAACTGCTAGCAACAGTTAGCAGTTTTAAGGCACACCAATACTCTATGTGTTCTCTTTGTTAATCTTTGTTACTTTTGCGTTAACAGTTAAGTAGAGATATAGTTGTCTGACTTTCACACTTTGAAAGAGTGTATGAGAGCATACCACACTAAGGTAAATGAGGATTAAACTTTTTGTCATAATAAGCAGCTAGTAAGCATTTGCAAGCGATGTATTGATAGCTCTATAGAACACACTGGTTAATGCAACCTTTCATTCTCTAGATATAGCATCAATTGGTGAAAAAACAACAAACTATTATAATCTTTCAGTTGTGTGACATGAAAGATAAAATATATCTTAAATGTAGGAGGTGTATTATTTATTGTTTTTTAATGTTGGGGCTAGCTACTTCTTAACCATCTGTATTCGTAAGACTTCCCATTCCGTTTGCTAAACTTAAGGGTTTCATCACTCAATCCACTTGTTTCCAGTGACGGAGGTCCAACAGGGTGTAACGTGCTCACAAGGATGTCAACTTCAATCATATAGAACTTCATTTTTCATGATCTTGAAGGCTTATGTTCTAACCATAAATTTTTGTTGGGTTCTGGTTAACTTCTGAGGTAATTTGATGCTCAAATGAAAACTTATATCTACTTTGTTAATGTATTATCTAAACGTAATTATATGTCATTCATTCATATGTCACACATAGACCATGTATTCCTACCATGTAGACCATTCCTTCTGGGACATCCGATAAATATTCTAGTAATTCCTTCTAATTGTGCTGACTACAAGACATCTATTGACAGGGTCATAAGTGGTGTCTTGATTAACATGCAGCGCTTCATGTAAGTCATACCCCTCGCTCCAAAAGTGGGCGAAGAGAATGTCTTGCGCGAGATTCCGCATTTGGTTAGTGATCTCCGTGCTGATAGAGATTTCACAATGGTGAGTTGTTATTTTCGAAATGTCGCTCATACCTAGATCATGTACTGTTGTCAGGATATGCCCAGTGTTGGGGAGTATATGTTCGACATGATTGGCACAAATTTCCCATTGTATGACCAGCTCCATTTCCAACATGCTTTACGCGATGACACTTCCCACGTTTGGAGTGAACCTGCTTGCGTTACTCTTCGTGCGCACGATACACACTTAGCGATTAGGAACGATAGATTTAAGATCTGCTTAGCATTTATGAGAAGGATCGATGCTTAATTGTGACGCCAATCATTCGACAGTTTCTCGCTTAACATGCCAAATCGGTAAGTATTTACCCCACAAGCGTGTAGAGATGCGAAAACTTGCGAGCAGTTTTAAGGCTGACGACTACAGAAATGAGGAGATAGACAGCTCAGATGATTAGACAGTCTAAGATGATGTTATTTGGGCATATCAGAAGAAGAAGTTGTGGCTTCAGCACGTTTAGCTATTAGCACAGGTGATGAGTCCGGTGTGATATGTTTCCCCGTACCAGAGAAGAAAGACAGAATAAAACACGTCAAGCACCTCCCAAGAACAGGCTCACACCAGAGTAGAATGAAGAGAGTTCACTGTTCAAGTTGTCAGTTCAGTCTCAGACAAGCAAACTGGTGAGTATGGTGACGGCCAGAATATCCTTACTCCGAAGACATCCGGCGCAGCACTCCTCATTAATAATACTCGGATAAACCTTGCCTGTATTGATACACGTGGTATTACTAGTTCTTAAACTTCCGAGTAGGAAACGAATTCCTCAGAAACACTTGCACTGGAATAATCGTTCACTTACTCCATCTCCGCAGCTATGGTAGGACGTATAACTAACCGGAGCACTTTCTCGGTGCAGCTAGTCCGCGACAAAATCGACTTTCCTGAATAAGAGGGCCCGGAGAGCACGACGGCATGCTTTGAGCTAGGGGTACACTAGAATGCACATGAAGCTGTCACTCGTGGCCTTGACACAATCTACTCGGTCAAGTTTTACCAGAAAAGCTCGGGAGGAGCTGATCTCGATCCGCAACGACACTCGCAGAATGGAATTGGTTCACAGTGGATGTACTCGGCGAGTGCCTCGGGACCCTGACGGTCTGACAGAAAGAAGTACCTACACTTATCAGAAGAGAAAGACTACTACTGCCTATCTTTACTACAGAGTCTGAAGGAGACTGCCAATCAACCAACAAGTGCTCTTCATCCTGTCGTATCCAACAAAAGGATTTTCAAGCGACATTACAAATGGAAGGTCTGACAAATTACAAGGCCGGGGGTACCTTCAAGGGGGCAAGAGAGCCCTGCACAAAAATGATAGATGGATAAATTTGCTACAAACAACCATATATTGTGACAACTACCTAACTAACACACCTCAATTAATTACCCCAACCCTCCTCAAGTTCGTTCGGTTCTTATTATACTTCAGTATGACTGACCAGGCATGAGTTGTAAGGGCTAGGATTGTCCACCCTCGAGGCTTCATGAACTCTTTCCAAGGAGTCAAAAACACAAGTAACTGGCTTATACAGTTAGCTGAAGAGTAAAAAAAGTCTCCCAAGTGACCCCTTCTGTACATTGCTGACCACCTGATCATCTCAGAAGTTTAATCCACAACAAAACAGAAAACTCCAAAAGTTTGCCTAATCAGAGGTCTGAGCAGCGGCTTCATGGTTAGATCACTGCACGTGACCAAAAGACTGAGCATTCGCCAGACCACATCTTTCAGATACACAGGCAAACTAATCCTTCCAACAGATGTCATTCGCGTGTGTTGCACGGACATCTTCCTGCACACCTTGACAACCTCTTCCAGCACACTTCATCAACTTCATCCACCACACTTTGACCTTTCATTAGGTTTCTTGTCATCATATTATCCGTAATCGTGCGTGGAGAGACTACATAATGGTGCAGCAGCCACCCTTCTTTTCTTCTGTCCCTTGGGCACCCTGCTGAGCGAATCGTCTTGATTCAGATGGGTTGTACGAAAATTCGTTAGTGTCGAGGCCATACTGCACACAAGGAAGACTTGTCAGAAAATGATACAAGTGCAAAATTTGTCAGCGTACTCTGGCAATTCCCATTTAACACAGCTGGCAAAGATCTCTATGGAGATAGCAGAATGCAACATTGAAAAAACTCAAGAATGTTCCAAACAGTCTAGTTTACCTTTTCTCGCATTCTTTTGCTCCACTCATCGCTGCGTGCTGGGCGACTCTCAATAGGTGCACCACCAGGTGCAGGAGGGGCGCTTGCGGCACTAGTTGTCTGGCGATTGAGCAGCGGTGCACGGTTCGATCTTGGAGGATAATCGTCATCACTTTCGTAACCAGACTTCCTTGGGTCAGACACTGCTCGCAGAGTGAAAGATAAGAGCATAGACAACGCCTGTCCACGAGAAGGCAGACGTAAGTAAGACAATGCAAATCTGAAGGCGTTTGACAAACCAGTGGAAACGACATGATGGTTGAAACACCTTAATGTCTTAGGTTCTCTGTCGGTACACTCCTATCAAGCTTAAGAGTAAACTTCTTCAGTTGGTTCCGAGAAGTAGAATGCCTATCTTCCGATACCAAAGAAGATGCTACACGAGTCATGTCCATTGTAAAGGAAGAAATACGAGTGGATGGGCCTACTCGTAGAAATAGATTCAGCTGACCTCCCTACTTCTCGTACATCCATTATTTAATTTACAACTCGCTATGGATACATTGAGTATACTACACAGTCACACGGGCAATTGCCACACGGAATGGAAAGCGCTGCACAACACTCTATCCAGAGTTAGAGTAACCCACCTCGATGATGACAACAGCTAAGCCAACCCACTTGCAAATTTCATAGTTATCTTTCACAAAATCGACAATGTTGGCCAGTTGTCCTGTTGGATCGTTAGGAATGTCCTGAACAATTCAAACAAATGAAACAAAAGTGTCACAAATCATAAATAGGGTTTCAACAAGATTGAGTTCGCTAACAAGATGTTTTGCTAACTGCAAACTGTCGTACCCGGAGTCCAGAAAGAAGCATATTTAGACTGATTCACCTATGGGCACGATTACACGAATCTAGGGTGTGGAAAGGTTCCAACACGGTTGTCATGTGGTAGATTTGCATGTCTCAATCTACTCAAAAATCCTTGTCCTTAGAGCTAGTTCCGAGTTTAAAACAGAGGCAAATGGGGGTCAATTGTGTCAGCCAGTCTCGTAATCCCAACACTACAGATCCCGCGCAATTGCCGAGCATTGAAACGAGAACTACTAGGCTACGGCTTGGCTTCCTTCTGGATAGTCCCTAATCAAACTGAACATCAAGTTGCTGATAACATTCAAGCCGGAAGTAGAAGCAAATAAATTTTCAGGTATTTAGATCCAAGCCTACTCCGCCTACTCGAGAAAGTGTATACAAAGTGGGCTAGAAGACCGGCAACCGAGCTTAAAGAGCTCCGAGAAGGTGAAAACTCACATTGCGCCAATTTTTGTCGAAGAAGATGGCAGCAGTTAGTGCCCCCTGCACTAGAAGGAACATGAAAATCAACAGTGTATACTGCAACCTGAAGTCAAGGACGGTACACCGGTAGAGCATGGAATCGAATCACATGATAGATAATTCAGCATGAAAGTCACCTTTCTAAGCAATTAGAATGCCCAGACTCTCACTAGACCCCTCCTGGATATGCACATGATTTATATGCTCACACAGCACTGAACACATGAGACTCATATCCTGAAAGCATCTGAGATCGGCACTCCACACGACATTTAACATGCATCACTGGGCTTAAGCCTCATGATTCAGGATACACATGACAGACAGCAGGCGCTGGTTGTCTCCGCGGCAATATGTCCCGTGCAAGTGATGAGGCATGTAATAATTCCCAAGCCCAGGAAGGCGTAGATAAACCTGGACAGAGAAAGCAACTTGTCATGCATGAAGCACATTATGGTATTCGATACTTTCATTGATAATAAACCCACAACCAAAAATAAGTAAGAATCATTTGCCTAGCTTTAGAGACCTAAAGGGGCCACTACTTGGAAATTTTAGCAGAGAACCTCTAAAAGCAGCAAGTAGATACTTTCTGAAGAAAACTGTAGGATTCATACTCCTTGATTTACTATCCTGCTCGTCACGATAGCAAGGACAGTCCAGACAATGCATTCCCATTACCTAGAATAAACAACACAAATTGAAGACGATTCAGCAATCAATATCCAGGAATCGTAGTAAACGCACAAACTCGTACCATGGAGCAGGAAGGTTGTCGGGGAATATGGAATTTTGAAGCTTCTCTGGAGTGTTCATGATAAATGTGAGACCCTCCAAAGGTTCACCTTCTGACATGCCATTCCCTGAGGGCAAGTTCAAAGCCTCCATAGTAGATCTCGCGGTTGCAACCAGATCTTCGATCGCATTCATGTCATCATCAGAAGGAGATGGAGTGGGGCTCGGACTGGGCGGATGTTTGTGCCATTGATTCAGCATCCAAAGTGAATATAGAACCATGGCAGCCCCCACAAGTGTCAGTAGAAAGTTCGTCAGCTTCAAGGTACACTGTAAAAACCCTCGGCAAGTCATGGTGGCTATTCACCTGATCAGGATCTGTACTCCCAGAAAATTTTCCGCGAGCGCAGTAGATGTAGTATGTTTTCCCTATAAGATGAAACTCAGGTTGAGAATTCTAAATTTACGGTGTGGAATACGCATCGACTATGCTAAAAGCGAGCCCTGTACTAATCCTGTCCCCCCACAACCCCCACGACCATCTCCTCCAATCCAGTTGATGGGGGACGGGCGTTCGTACAGAAACCTGAACAAACGGCAGATCTGAAACTGTCAGAGACACACACGAGCTTCTGTGTTTCCACAAGCTCTAAGCATACGGAAACATGACCGTGGATGGTCCTCAAATCAACAGACTAACGCATGCAGAGCTGAGCTTCGTTTCACACATAACACGACAGTTCCCACAGCACAAGACTAGTACACCAATCATCTACCATCATGGACACAAAGACCACCGACAGCGCGATCTAAATCACACGAGCAGAACGAGATTCCATACACGAGACGGACAAAAGCCTTACAAAATCCCAGCTCTCAATTGCGGTACAATAGAATTGCCTTCCTGCCTCTAGATCAGCACGCAGGAGAGGCAAATCTAGGACCTCCAATCGGATCGTAGCGACAGACAGCGAAGAATCTCTCCTCTCTGAGACGCCCAACGATGAAAGTCCACCTTGTGGCGCCAAAGTATATAACCAGAAGCCTCCTACACTCCTCTCCTCGCCTCTCCTCTCCTCTCTCTCTCTCTTTCTCTTTCTCTCTTTCTCTTTCTCTTTCTCTTTCTCCCTCTCTCAATCCACTCCGCTTCCTCTGACCTCTCGTCCCTCCCTGCCTCCCACCAACAAACGCACGGAAACCGAGAGGAGGGTTCGATTGCAACCTGTGGAAGGAGCCAGATCAGGCGAGTACGACTTTCAATCGGAAATTGGAGACGAGCCGTGGAAAGAAGAATAAAAGCGGTAACAGGATTGAAATGCCGCACGATGTGTAGGTGCAGATCGGTACAGGGAAAAAGTCAGTAAGGGTTTCGAGGGTGAGCAGTCGATGAGTCCACCATAGCCAGACAGAAGCGGACGAAGGCAGTCAAAAGGGAAGGAGGGGGAAGGAGGGAGAGAGGGGGAGGGAGGGACTCCGAGGACGAACTACGAGGCCAGCCAGGGAAAGGGAACGGGGGAGGAAGGAATGCTGCCAGCGAGGGGCCCGAACGAACGCTGGCTCGCTCTCTCTCTCTCTCTCTCTCGCTCGCTCTGTCGCTCTCTCCCACTCCCTCTCTCTCACTCGACCCGAGCAACGCTCCCAGATACCACCCTCCGGACAACGCTCTGCATGTCCCGGCCCTGTCCCGATTGTCGCTAAATCCCCCAGTAAAAAATCCGCTCCCCGTCGCCCTCCACCGCACGATCTCGACCATCGACGGCTCTCTCCGGCCTGGTGCACTTCCCCGGGACACGTCTTCCCACAGCGCGTGGCACCTTCGCCCCTCGCCCTCGCCCTTGCCCTCGACCTCGCCCTAACCGGGGTTACATCGTCCCTAACCCGGGTTATCTCGGATCGCCGGCTCCCCGCCACAGCTTCGGCTCTCTCGGCATGTGACACGTCCGTCTGTCGCTCGGCCCGATATTCGGCCCCTTTCAAACTCCATCGCCTGGCCTGTTATTAATTATGGCCTCGGGTTCGGGGGGAAAATCCTCACCCGCAATTTTCGTCGCTTCGGAAGGGAGGGTTCGTATTCCACTGGCCGAAGTAATTGCGCTTACCGCATTTTACGAATGCCTGAAAAGCGAACCTCATTCCCGGCGAGCCTTCTTTAATAACCCGGTGCTGGTTTACGTCTCGCTTACCGCGGTCAGTGGACTCGACCTCATTGGCCTCGATGTTATCTGCAAGTGGTTTAGTAAGCTTTAATTAGCCTCTCTATTAACTGTTCACAAGGGTTACTGTGGTGGACAGGTTGTAGGGAACCTCGATTTGTCCTTTTTGGTGGAACACTTCGAGGCCCCAGTGGCAAGGCCCTCTGATCTCATCAGGTTCGTCTTCGAAATATGCATTGGACGTCAAATGTGGACTTTTACAGGTCACGTTTTAAGGTTATGGATTTATGTTTCTCTCTTGGAATAATAATTATGGCTGTTGTCGTGAGCCGGAACCATTCATTTCTTGTATATGTTATGCTGGTTGAACTTCTTCGGGGAGTTGTATTCCTATGGTGGAGTGTGAGCCAGGTAAGGGGGAAAGTTATGAGCACGTACTTTTTGATCACTTGAGAAGTACAATAGACTCAAAACAAACTCACATGGTATTCTCAGTTAAGAGCCATCGACAACAGATATAAAAATATTAGAAATCCCGCATCAAGCTTCACAAAGGAAACACCACAGCCTACGACGGTCATAGTACAGTAATTACAACATGCAGTATTTACATAGCCTTATTCCATAAATAGGAATATTATTTTTCACTTTTCGAATCCACAAAACGTATGTTATTATGCTCTTTTTGATATATTTCGAATATAGAATAATTGAAAATAATCGAAACAATGTGACATGAACAATTCATTTTCGGAAATGTCTATATGATAAAGTAATTGATTGAAGATGTTAACTATATTCTAATTAAATTTCTGAATATAGAAAGCAAAAAATAAATATATCTATACGTATCTAAACTTAATATTTACAATTAGTCCAATACATAAGAAAGTGTAAAATTGAATAAATAACTCATGCTAAATGTCTTTCACGCATTTGTTATTCTGGTACATGTTGATGTAATACGTTTTATGAATGTAGAACTTTGTCAATTCTAAAATCAAATGTTTCATCTATGGCTTGAATTTCACAAATATTCATAATTGAATGCAACAGCAGAGTCTAAATCATCAATTAACTTCATCATATTAAGTAAAAAACTAAAGTCCGGATTTTTCGCAAAATTTTGATACTATCTTTCTTCTAAACTTTACTTAGTTCTTTCATTCACAAAAGAACAATAAGGGAATCGGTCTCCCATTTAATTTCTAAGCCCATTGTATATTTCCAAAAAAAAATGATTATATTGTCTTCATTAGAAAATTAACATTTAAATTCAATTCATCTGCAACCCATTTTTCCATAAATTGCACACATTTAAACTGTATATTAGATATATTGACATTCAAAAAAATTCAATAGAATAATATATTGTAAATATTTCAAATATTGTATAAATATATTGTTAGATGTAAATTGACTTATATGTGATGTAAAATCACATCATCATGACAGGTTGCAAATTATACTTCAACGCATTTATGGATTTTTCAATCTTTCCATAATTTAAAAAGAAAGGTTCTTAATGCTGCAGACATGTTTACATGATTTACTACAAACATGTAGTCTCATGTAAAAATGTATAAAAATTATATTTATCTGAAATTATGATATCAAAAGATACAGAAGTTTGTTTTAAAATATGAATATAGAATATGATATAAAAATTGAAGAATTTTCCATTTTTTAGCCAGAAAATTTAAATCTGTTAGGGATATTCATTTTTTCATAATAAAAATTCTTGAACTCATTATTTTCCTTATACATAAATTTTCAATTTAATTTTTCTTTCTAACATAAAAAGGAGATTTTCCCAAGATATCAATTTAAAGATTAATCTATATTTTTTTTAAACTACTTTTGTTTCAATTAGTGTGATAAAAATTAGTGTTAAATTTTTTAATCTGTATCCATAATACTATATAACATATTTATACAATATTTCATGAAAAGAAAATTTACATATAAATTAATCAATGTTCTATAAAAAATCCAAACATAAATATACCTTATTGTTAAATATTAAAACATATATCATGAAGTTGTACTTAGGTAATTTTTTCTCACAATACATTATTTTTACCACATTTGGTATATGCGTATATATTTCATATTTTTGATTCGTGTAATTTTTGTAATAAATATAAATTAAATAAGTAAAATCAGTGAAACATAGAATATATTTTTGTTACGTAATAATCAATCATTTTTATATCATATTAGTATATATTTGTAATGATAATAATATTAATATTTTGTACACATTTTTTCAAACAATGAAATAATATAAACGTCAATTGATATTAAAAATGATAAATGATATTTAAAAAAACCTCTGTAAATTTATCAAAGACATACGAACTCGGAGACATTCCTCATGGTATTCACAATAACAAAAAGATTCATAAATTGAGTGATATTTGTAGTTACATTTTGTATAATCAATCATCTATAACTTTATAAATATTTTTCATAAATTAGAGAATAAATGTTAAACATTAATATAATATGTTGTATTTTTATCAAATAATAAATATATTTTCAGTTTCATTTCATGTATTTAAGACTGATTTTATGATAATGTATAAAAATACTAATAATGATCAATGACATATATGAATACACAAAGCACATCATAAAGCAATGTGTATATTGATACACATAAGACTATTATATCGTATATAATTTGTCCCATGTCAATTTCATATTCATTATGATAAATCTATGGTGTAAAAAAAATATCCATAAATATTTTTTCTTTGCATATTTTTAATTACCAATATTTTCAAAAATCAACTCCAATGTATACATGAGATTAATTTGAGAGTATAATTTGATATTTAAATAGAAATTTGGTTGTGCTCACATGACGTAATACTGTCATGATAGAAGATTTATGTGATAACGATTATCATCATTTTGATGATGATGATGTTGGAGCATGTAAATTTTGATATTTATTTGTGAAAATATTGTAAATGGTTTATTTCTATCAACTTTTTGATTGAATTTTCCTTTGCAATATTTTTAAAAAACAAATAAAAATATATTTTTAAATCAAATAATTTCTTAAAATATTTTATAAAAAATCAGAACTTCAATATACGTTTTAAATAAATAGAAATTTTTTTAATTATTTTGTAAATATTTAAATTTGAAAATTTGTTGTTAGAGTTTTTTGAATTGTATAGAGTTGAAATAATGTTACTTCAATACAGAAAGAAAAGATTGCAAATATTTTTGTATTATATATTTTTACTTTGAACCTATGAATATCATAACTATGCACATTACATATGATATTTTAATAGCTTCTTACTTTGAATACAAGCTACCACTTACTTTGATGCGCACAGAAACAACACAACCTTGTGTTTGAAGTATACTATACAATATATATACTATCTACAATTCTATGCCATTTATATAAGCATTTTAATTGTTCTTGATTTGACAGGATATCCATTCTCGTAAGAAACACGATTGCTTGTATTGAATTTAGCTGCTGGAGTGCACTCCATAATTCATGGACTACAACTTTGACTTCGGAAATATATATATGTGGTTGAGTGAACTACATTCTACCTTGGAAGTATCCCCAGTTTATCTCGTAAGGTTTGCTTTAGAAGTTCTAACATCTGTCTCGTCCACCATTTTCTCCTGATGCCGAAGAATTCTAATTTTGGATTCAATCACTCACGTTCAGGCTTATTTACCGAGTTTTGCAAGCAAAATTACCACCTAGTAGACATGCTCTCAAATAATGCGCTTCAGATAATAACAAGCCAGGCAATTCATGGTAAATAAAACAAGGCCTATGATTAAATAGGCCGGAAAATGAAGCAAACTGGTCTAATCCAAAAAGCTCAGCTCGACTGTACTTTTACCACTTTGGTGTCCAAAAAGCCGCCAAGAATCCATCGCTCGAACCACGCGGCAGCTGCAGGGCTGGCCACTTGTCCGGCCGAAGGACTCGAAGAAAAGGTGGACCAAAGCTTTCCTCGTGCCGATGGACCTGCCTCGTCAAGCCACAAATTTGACATGGTCGAGACAGCGTCCTGGAGCTCACCATCTGGAATTCACAATTGGACAAGCCTGGTGGCCCAATTACAGGCCCTGGTGACCGAATGGGCCCGTCTTCCAGTTGGCCGCCTACAGTCTGTCTACTCGCACCCCACCTCTACCCCACCCCCTCTACTGTACTATTACTTTAGACTGGTGTCTTACGTTTACACGTACTTACCTGGAGACTGGTAAAAGCTTCGAGTAAAGTATTTGCATTTGTGATCATCATTTGTGATCATCTCTCATGTTCAAACAAAAACATTTTGACGTGATCAGTTCTAAAGAGATCGCTTTTGATTTCGACGTACCTGTTTGTCATCCATTTCAACCGTATGACATCACATTGTCACATTTCTAAAAGTTCTCGTTCACTCCTTGGAATGGTACATAAGTTGGAGTGCAGTGCAATAGGTGCCATTTAA